TTACTATATTAATATTTAAAATGAATTGTGTTAATAACACTTTGTTTTCTTACTTAAAAATATGATTTAAAGCATGTAAAGCATAAATTTTCCGTATTTCTCTTGAATTTTCCACGGAACGATTGGTGAACAAAATATCGCGATATTTATTAAAATGGTGAAAGAGACCAGTTTGCAGTTCCGAGAAAATCGAATCTTTACTATCTTGAATGTATAAATTGTTATAATTATTATATTTTACAACCATATACAATAAACCAATAAAGATATACCATCCAACTTTTTCCAAGAACAAAGTAATTTTTCCTTAATCTAATGAAGTATGGATACCTATTAGATAAGTATTTTAAAAAGTCTGATGTTACAAACATTGAAAACTAAAATGTTACCTTTAACGAATTCAAATTTAACTCTGAGACTCCAATAAAGTTTTCTTCCGCTTCCGAATCTTGTTCTATTGAATATTTTGATACCGATTTCAATATTGGATCTTTGTAATTAGAAATATTCCATTGTTTATTATTTATTTTCTCTATCTTGGAACTTATATCTTTCAACGATAGATTATCACCAAAATGGCGATCAAATTCGTCAGCATCATCTTTTAAAATATATACAAATTAGTTGTGAATTTGGTAACCTGTAAGTAAAAAATTACGAGTATACAAACCTTCTTCATCGTCAATATCGGGATTACTTAAAACTTCATCTTTAGAATCATTCGCATATGTAATGCCTTGCATTTGGTTATCATTACTCATTTCAATATCCATACTATACAGAATGATTTCAAAATAACACGATATTGAATAGACTGCCACAGATATTATGCATCATCAGGGACAATGTTTCACAGAATTCACTAATGTGGTAAGTATAATAATACAGAAATTACAGAGTTTGGCCTTGATTATACATAGGACATGACAAAGTAGCATCACAGAATTTGTCACCACATAACGCTATATATGGGGGATGGCTAAAGCCAGGTGTGTTTATATGTTTTTTAATATTTAATTAATATTAGGGTAAGGGTTGGCGAGGGG